TTCGTTCTCTTTCCCCGTTTCTTCTTGCTCTCCACCTCGGTCTCTGTCATTTTCCTTCTTCCATGTCATTGTTTTTTTACTCCCTTAAATTTTGCTGAACGAAGGACATAAGATGACATAATTACGAGCGCCATTAATGGATCCTAGAGCGCGCCTTTGACAGGGTCGTTTAATTCCGTGCAATTAACATGGCTTTATGCTCCCGTGACATCTGCAGAATTTTTACGAGCGCGAGTAAATTGAGTCGTCGCGTCGTCTCACCTTCGCGCCGGCATGGAGAAAAGAACGATAGAGAACGAACACCCTCGTGAGACAATGGCGTTTTCATGGCGGTAAGGCGATTTAAGTAGCTCGCCGAATGTATCTTGAAATGAAGCGGAATATTTTTTATCGCGATATGTATCCTTGCAACTCGATGTACGATCTGCTTCTCAGGACGATGCTCAAGATCTAAAGTACCGATAGTATATTTAATCAAAGACTGCATATTAATTGACAGATCAAACCTTAGCGGATTATTAAGCTTTTTTAAACATTTAAAAAGCTTATAATATAACATTCTCTAAATAGGTTTTAATATTAATAATACTTTAAATTTCCATTTGCTTTGTAATCTCTTTTAAATTATCTATGCGCTTCAATGCTTATATCTTAAGTAATACAAATCTTTTGTGTTGTTGTGTCATCACCTTGTTAAAATACGATACACAATCAGCCTTGTTGTTGTTAGTTAACAATTAATTCTTTAATTTTGTTTCGTTCCGGTCGCTTTCGCTATTTCATTTCCACTTAATACGCACTTCGACGGCCCTCGGATAAATATTGTTTTAAATGTCACATCGTAATTCACTTCGCGAGTGTCGTCAATTTCCTTCTCTTCACTCGAAAGCACTCTATTTTCGTTAATTTGTTGTACACCGAAAAGGCGTATGCCCGATAATTTAACCGATTTCTCTTTCCTTCTCTTTCTTTTTCTTTCTCTTTCTTACTCTCGGCTGTCAAGCATTACATTTCACCAATCCGTCATTCGAAAGTAGTGGCCACGCACCGATTTCCTTGACCCCATCGATTTCTTATTGTAACATCTTATCATTAAATTGTAATAACACATGCGAGATTTCTGATACCGATTTCACAAACTGCAAATATGTTTAACATAATATAAATAATAAATACAAGAGCTCTTTAAAGAATTCGGGGAATTAAATTCTTAGATTATAAATCAGAATTCTTCTATAAAAAGTAAAAATAATGTTTTACGGAATAAAATTTTGTAAAAAGCAGAATAATTTTTTAAATAATAATTTTTTAATTGTATTGTGTATTAATTGTACACACATATGTATACATACACCTAATAAAAATTTATATTTTTCAAAATAATTCCATGGTGATTATTGTTCGCGTCAGAGATGCTCGCGAAGTCTACAAGGGCAAGAACCTTCCGAGGCGGTTTTCAGCGGCGGGCACGCAGCATCGAATAAATTACGCGCTTCAATCCAAGGCGTGTTGCAAAATCCACGCGGCATTAAATATGTATACAGTGATACTCCGATAGGGAACACCTGTAGAGGACCGTGCGCCGTTGCAGGGTCTGATCGAGTAGGAGGGAAGGGACGCTCGGACAGGTATCTCCTCGGCGGTTTTCGGTTTGCTTATGTAGCACGAAGCGAGCCCGCGCTTATTTATGCACTTGCCACTCTTCCCGATCGTTGGCATAAATTGATACGTCGTGTCATCCCCTCCTTTATGGTAATACCTGTCGACTTCCTGGGATATATTTGCGGGATAACGAGGCGCGTGGACTCGACATCGAGCCGACGCGTGATTTCTTGCCGCCGTTCGCGATTCAATGAAATTCCGCAGAAATCTCAAATTATTTAATAACTTTGTTCGCTAATCGTGAAAAAGAAGTGAATATAGACATATTTTAATAATTAAAGTAAATTAAATAGAAAATTATCTCTTTAAAAAAAAAGAGATTAAAAAGTCGCCAAATGCATACGCCAGTATAAAAAGCTATTATATATTGAAAAACTGTTGTATAAAATTGTTTTAATATATCCAATCAAAAATAAAAAATAATTATGCATCGCAACGTATAGTGTTGGTTTCCATAAGAAAAATGTTTAGATGAATAATAAGTGTTGTCTAACATTTCATAATTTTAAAAATGTTAAAAATATATTTCTTTAAGTGTTAAAATTAAAAAATTGCGCCAAATGAAAAGAAAAAATATGATAAAAGTTTTAAGAAAAATTATACTTACATTTTTAAACCCACTAAGATAATAGAAGATATTTAGATGTATATAATATTTAATTGAAATAAAATAGTATATTGTGCACCAAGGGAAGAAAATTGTGTTTTTCAGACAAGTGTGAAGTTTGTCGCCCTCGCCTTCGGCTCGGGTGGCAAATCACACGAGTCTGAAAAAGCTTTCAACCCGAGGTGCACACGATATTTTTCACCCTGGCGTGAAATTGGCCACTTTCGCTCCTCTCTAGGCATGGAAAGTCGAACTTTCCGTGGAGGTGTTGTGAAAAATATTTAATGTAAAGAACTTGGCGCTGTTAGATTAAAAGTAAAGGCTGAAATAAATGAATAAATATGATGAGCGTTACGATACGTGTGTCGGTGTGTGTGTCATGTTCAGATTTATATTAAAAACATTTATTATCTTATTATATTCCGAGATCTAGCAGCACCAAGTTTTTTTTGCATTAAATATTTTTTTATTTTAATGAAATATTACAGATACATTTAAATATCTTCTATTACCTTTGTAAGCTCGAATAATAAAATACACTAAACTAAAGTAGGAGATATCTCGTAAATAATTTTTGTTATAGTCTTATTTTGATATCTTTATATATGCACAAAATAGCTAAACAGAATTACACTAAAGAAACAGAATTACATTAAAAATATGTTATAGTTCTAAAATACTGATAACATTAAAATATTCTTTTAGTACATTTATTTCTTTATTTTTCCTGTTAAATATTTGTTTGTAGTAAATTTTTGAATAGCAGTTATTAAAATTAAACTAAATGTATATGAGAGAGTATATATGTATAATATAAATTGTTACTTCATTAACGTAATTACTTTGTATGAATCAGGTGACAAACTTATATGTATTGCTTCTTTCGCGTATCTCATCTATCAATTATTATATATAAATATGTATATAGGACATTGGTTATTGTAATCAGTTTGTATCATCCAATTTAACTCCAAGAATAGATTCCAATGCTTTTATAGTTTCAGGAACCATTTTTAAATATTTTCCCTTAAACCATGAAATCGCCAAGTAACGCGTTACTGTCCACTCGTACAAATCGCGGAATATTGGGCAGGCATACTTTGGCATGCAGTATTCGCAGGCAAACTCTAAAGCGGGTCTAGCCATTTCTAACCATTTACATTTGATGCACAAACGTAGCCAAAGGAACCTGCAAGATACGTGCGTGTTATGTTGCTCAATAACGAAACAATCTGAATATAGATAAGCATATTTACCGTATTTCACAAATATGCTGGTCATGCAGAACCGCATATCGTAGTATATGTAACTTGTACCTCGACAGAACCATAGGCGATGCATGCAAGTAGGCTAAAAATTCTATTTTATTAAGATCATTGGTAACGCTTAATTGACTAACCGTAGAAAACACCTCTTCTATTCTTTGTTCTGTGATCCACTGTTCCGCTTTAAGGTGACAAGCAGTTCTTCTTACAGGGCCCAAATAAATAGGTGGTAATCCTAGTCCATAAAACCACTCATCCCAATCTACATCAGAGTAGAACACCTAGCAACAAGATAAAAGTTGTTATTTGTTACTTAATAAATTAAAATTGCTAAAGCTCTGATTTATTTGCACAAAGAACATGTTACCTGGACTCTACGACCACTACGACAAAAGCAACAATACAGATATTCCTTAAAGTCAGCTGTCCTGATACTGAGATATGAAGATGTACTATCGCAATATCGTAAATAAGATAGAAGAAATGTTTGGAAAGCTTCGGGTCCACATAAGAAAAGTTCTAAATAATTCAAAAGCAAACGTCCTTTTTCGTACGGTACGTACTTGATGATATTATTAGGTAAAACATCCGTCAAATCGGGTACTAAAGCGACGTGACCGTGTAAATTTATCTGTAATAATAATGCAGTTTCAGAAAATAGTGAAGTAAGTTTGTAAAAATGCATATGAGTATATTTGCGCAGATATGAAGTAAAAAATAATATTATCAATCAATGTATTCAATATATTTCTTTTTACAATTTTATCCAGGCAAAATTAATTTACCACATTTACTAAGTCGTTAATGCCTTTCACGTCTAGAAGTTCTTGCATTTCTATATCCACAATATTATTTATAATCTTCCTATAAATGAATGCACTAAAACTTTTAATCAACCACAAATGTTCAAAATTTGCAATCGTAACTAGTCCTCCTATCCAGCTCTCAACGATGTTTTGAACAATTGTATTTTTCAAAGAATAATTTCCACCCAGTAAAGTTGCCGACATGAATGTCACGAAAGGACATTGCATATCGAATTCCGGTATATTTGGTGGAAGCACACATACATTAAGTATATCTATATACAAAAAAATATTATTTTATGAATATATTAATAATAAAATAGTAAGTAATAAAAGAACAATCTTTACACAATTTCTTATCAAAGAAATTTCGTTATAAAATATATAAATTGAAACAATAAATTGGGTTCATATATTACGTAAGGAATATTTGTTGATGATATTGTTGACGATGAGCAGCACGTAATTAATTATATTTCTATCAAACGCCATTATACTTTGCTGAATATATTTTCTTTCAGCCAACAAGGTGCATGTACCACAATCCATGCTTATTGTCACCTGTGCTAGTGAACCTATTATAATAAACACCGCATATGAAGGTATTCTTGTATCGGAATTAAATTTATATATTAGTCGGTCTCCATCATAATGCATTATGTTGCTATGTCCAGCCATCATAGCGTTAAAACCCATTGGCACAGAAATCTAAGAAATGTTAACCGAGCATCAATAAAAATTAAATAGGAAAACCATTTTATAATTAGTTAAAACAGTAAATATAAAAAGTTTGAAATTATAATTGCAATTTGTTTAAATTCTTACTTCAGCATGGAATACAGATTTTTGTGATGGTGTATCCTGGCAGGGAAATATAGCTCTGGCATATGTAAGCTGAAAACGTTGAATTGTAAATGCAATGCACATTAGTACAGAAGAAATATATTATGCATTTGTAATTTACCTTACTGTTAGATATTAAGAGGGGATGTGTACCGTCGGAAGTTTGATCAGGTGTCAGCCAATACAATGCGGGAGAATTTGGACTTGTTTCATATTCAATCTTAATAAAATATCTGAAAATACGATATCGTCATATGTATATCAAATATTTGAATCAATAATTTCGAAAATCTATGTACTTTCCAAAAATATTCTATACTTACTCACTTTGATCGTTCAGTATATACTAGTTGCGGTAAGCAAATGGAAAATTTACTGCCAAACTTATTACCATCTGTAATGTTATGTTCCAGACTTACTCCAGTAAAAAACTCTGTGACGCTAAATATTTTAAGTCCATAGTTATCTAAAACCTAATTGTTTGATATTACATATTAATGATAAACTGAAATATATTCAAATTAAAAGAAAATGTTTACTAACTACTTCATTAGACAGCATGGATTTCGTTTCTAGTTGCAACACTGCATTCCCCCTAAGAACTTTATGATCAAAGTCCACGGATAACTCTAAGCGAGTATAAATTACAGCAGTAATATCTAATAAATATAAATTTATAAAAATTAAGATACATTCAAATATTTAACGATGCTATATACGAATAATAATTATAAGTACGTTACGAGAAATAATAGATTGCAGTTTAAAATATAATATTAAAATATAATATTGAAATAGATCTGATGTGTAGGTAAGTTTTTATTAGAATAGAAAAATTACAAGAGTATTGCGAAATGTATGACATAATTATTTGGCATTTAAGGAAACCCGTATAGTGCTATGGTGAAATAATGGCATAATTTAAAAAATTAGATTATTTAAGTGAATTATTAAAGACCTGGATATACGCGCGACATTTTCGCCTTTCAAACATGCTGATAAAGTTATAATTAGTCGATATCTGTATTTTATTTGCTTGAGAAAACATAACGAAAATAAATATGAAATGTTTAATGTTATACTTTTGTAACTAATTAAGTAATTAAAATACCTGGTCTTGCATAAGAATGAGGCAGATCAGACGACCAAGCCATTGTAAAACTTTATGTGAACCTTTCCAAATAAGTATCGACAATAGATCTTTGTACCACCAAATGATCTCATCAAGAGTACAGTATTGCTCGCTCTCCTTCCATATTACCTCTCCTACTACCTTATGTCCAACTATTCTATCTTCCCGTGTTTGACAACATATCAGTTTGTTTATTAGAATGTCAAATATTACAAACCGCTGTGTACCGTCTAAACGGTTGGTTACGTTTGACAAATCAAAACCGCACACAATAATTTTATTTATTTTATATAACACGTTCGCAAATTATACTATTTTTGTATAATAATATACTACAGTATATAATAAAATAACGATTTTACGTGCAATAATAATTTAATTAAAGAAAAGATCAGGTGTACATATGTTCCTGCTTTTTTTATAAATATAAATTTGAATAAATATATATCCATATATATATGTTTAGCATCATAACTTTAATTATTGCTCATTTATTTAACGTATATTTTGATAAACAATTTATAATTATATGGATATCTCTTTTAATTTTCAATGTATTTGTTGTCAATTTTTTTGTACTAACAGATCTAAACAAATTTTGTACTTTAAATCTTATTGTTATATACACATGTTTATTAATACACTTATTTTGGTACATATAAGAGAATAAAATTATAAGTATTAAAAGCGGCTGTGAGACTTTTATGTACCGTTGATTACGTTTGGCAAATCAAATCCGCACGTAATAAATTATCATTGCAAATAATTTTGCAATGTGTACTATAGATTTTTTCGCATCCTATCTCTTTTTACTAAATACTAACTGGTTACTCGGACATCGCCCGATTCGGGATTCGTTTTTCTTCAAACGACTTCATTTGTGTTTCAATATCCTTAATCGAAAAAAATTCCTTTATCAGGCAATGGCTTATCAGGCAATTGCAAAGAATCCTTTATATTAGTTTTATTTAAATTTTATTATATTTATTTATTATTAATTAAATTATAATATTTAAAATTGCACAATATATTTTTTATTCAATACTGATTCCCAAAAAGATTGGTAACGAAAAACTATACACTCTATAGCACTCCCCGGAAAATTCTACCCCTATTTTATATACTTTTGCTAAAAATTCGATCGAATAGTTTAAGAGTGTATAAAGAACAGACATACACATACAGACATTCTATTTTATACATATAGATATAAATTTAATTGACACATAGAGTTTCTTAATTGAGTTTTTTTGTGTTATTACATAAAAATCTTCAGTTTTTTGCAAATTTACAGCTCTGAAAATGGAAAAAAAAGCGTTTTATTTTAATTTTACTTTGCTTAACTCATATAGGATAATTGTTAACGTTGCAAATCATCGGATCCAATTAAATCGTTAACTTTTCGACGTTGCTGCTCGATCACAAAGAACTACGGTAGCTTGTTTCTGGTAAAGCTTTCTATAACCGCGCTCGATCGCTATAAAATCTTGCCTGCATCGTTACTTTGCGCCGCGCGAATTACGGAAAACAATAAATACGGCCGCTAAAGTACGGAGCGTACCTCGCGGCGGGAAGCCCGGCATCTATAATCACCCACGGCTAATTTCTTCGATATTCGCGGAACGTGACGGGCAAGGGCGTGATTAGGGGTACGCATTGTCCATTACCGGCCGTCAATCTACACCGGGCGTTTGAGGGCCGCAAGGCGGCTTTGCCGAGAAGTGCATAAACCTCGGTTATTGCTGCTGAGCAAGTGCGCTAGTGCACCTAGTATGGGCATGCCGCGCCTCGGTGAAAACCGCGAATTTCGCCGTAAGCCTGCCGCGCCGTGACGATTATAAGGATTACCGGATTCCGTGAATTGCCACACGACGCGGGCGGCTACGGGGGTCCGGGGTGTGTAATAGAACCGCGGGAGGGTTGCGCGCGGGGGAGACGCGTTGAATTTCAATCCCGGTCGTGCCTTCTGCAAAGTTCTGGACAACCGATCTGATCGCAAACAGTCGAAAATGTTTTGCGTTTAACGTATCTCCCTCCCTCCTGAATATTGATTTTACTCGACCGCTCGATCTTTTATGTCGGAAGTATTCTCGTCTCTCGAGAAATGACTAAATGTTGAGGTATAAATGTAACTTATTATTTTTTACTGTCTAAGATTTAATAATGAAGAAGAAAAGACCACTTTTGCACCTGTAGATTTTGAATAATTTATATCTAAATATACATTTTTCCTTCTTTATTTGAATAATTATTTTAATGAACTTAAGAAAAATTTTATTTTAAAATAAAATTAGGAATGTTAGATATTAATTTTTTACTACACATTTATGTCTGAAAATATAAAACAAAATTCGCGTGTATATGAGCAACCGTTCGGAGAACAAGTCGATTTAAAAGCCAGATGATAATTAACGCCACTTCCGCTGTCTGTTTCGTGAAAACAAAATGTGAAATCACAAAGCGGAACTATTCATTTGTCGATCACATTCAGATAAATGATGGTCATGTCATTGATGGAGAAACGGAGCTATCTGAAAGAGTTGGCCTTGCAAGATTTGAAAAAATTTCGTATTATTTCAAATATAATTTGAAATCATAAGGTTATTAAAAAGCCTGGAATATATTTTTAAAGTTTAAAATGCGTTGGAAATTTTGAGAGCCTAAAATGTTTGAAAGTCTTAAAAGTCCACTACAGTCAAAGCTGCATTTAATGTGACTAAAATTAAATTCAGTTAATTGCATTTTCAAACGTTCAGGATTTTCAAGAGTTTCAAGAGCCATGTAAAACAACTTTCACGAATATCAAGAATATTTCGAATTAGGAGCAAAGGTTCGTGGAACATTATCTGAAGCAATTCGAGTATTTACATGATCAAAATGTTTAAAAAATGTCGAAAGAAGGATTCGTACGCCCTGCATCATTTAAAGCTCGCCAGAAAGAGAACGCGCCCCGAAATAAAGAAGAGTGAGAAAAAACGAGAAGCAGCAAAACGGCACAACCGCACGGCCGCGTTATCTCGCGCGGGCATCGCATTCGATCTTTATAATTTAATAAATCGCGCGTGCACTTGTCGGTCCTCGGGCTTCATTCGCGACGCACGATGCGCGTATTTTGCTTTCTTCTTGTAAAGATAGAACTTTTTTATGCGGATGAGAAGTGACAATTATGACATAAAAATAACTTATTTTCTTCCAAAAATATAATAAAATGCATCTTATATAAAAGAACAGTTACAAAGAGAACGAAGAATACGAAGTCATATAATAATTTTGCAAATAAATTATTCAAATCATGATTTACTATAATATATTCCGTTATTGCATTAAAGCACGTCACATAATTGAATTCATTTACCGTGTTTTTCACTTTGCGATCATCGACTAATTTGACCTACCACAACTAAAGGCTGTCTCACACTTTTGGTCGGGACTGCGCATTTCTCTAAGCACATTTTTCTCACGGATTTTTCAAACACCGAGAATAGGCGTTTAGTTTCATCCGAGGAATGTCTTATTAGCACATTCGAATACAGGTAGCAATCACGTTAACGTGAGAAACGCTTTTAAAATACCTGCCGCACTGAGAAGCTGGTCACTTTACGAGGAAATTTTCGAGGAATACCTACCTATGTGCCTCATTATCTCTCAACAGGATAGGAGGCCTTCAGTCATTAATTTTCTTTCGCTCCAGATGAACAGAGCTAAGAAGACGGAAGCTTCGTCTCTTCATCCTAACAATAAGCTTCGATTCCTTCTTCGCACCATAAATTAAATCAAGAAACTTAATCTATTAACTTTTAAATTTTTATATTATTTTATTCTATTTTATTCAAATTTTTATTTTATATTTTTAATTAACATAAAAATAACTAATAATTAATTAACAATACCTATATAAAAAATAAAAAGGAGTTGGGGTCCACAAGTAAGTTGAAATTCACAAACCTCTATCTTTCCAACATTTTTTTATAAAATTAAGATACACGAAAAATAAGAAATTTGTCTGGAATTAATCCAAATATATCGATACCGACATAGCGTGTGAAATTCCGTAATCGCTTTATAGCTTTATTAAGGCTCCTGTAACT